TTTCCAGACAGTCATAAAAAAACCTCAGAGATGGACAAAACCCCTGGCCATAGGCAGTTTCACTTTTAAAATCTGGTACGCCAACACAGTGCGGGTTATCTTTCCTAGAGAGCTCATCCTGCATGGGTAAGCATCCTCCATAACTCCCACGTTTATAAGGAGCATTTCCCACTACCAGGAGTGACGCCCAACCTGCCACAGAAGCCACAAGGACGTTGTGCAAAAGCAGCCGGAGACATATGAGCACCGTTTGAAAGAGAAATCGTTCCTCCCTATGGCAAAGCTACCGATCGCTTTGGTATGGTGATGGCAGAGAGCAGCAGCGGTTGCTGTTCATTATTCCTTATTAGTACCCTGGAGTCGTGGTGGAAGGATGCTGTTTTCACTGGGGGCTGTGTTTCTTCTTCGCAGCCACTCGGTCTATCCTGCGTTAATCACGCTGACATTATTCAGTCGATCTCGCAGGCTTTGCACTTGATCATTATGTTGCTAAGCGACTGCTGGGTTCACAGACACAGCGAGCACTCCTCCCTTAACCTGATAAAAACCCCTGCATTAGTCTGCTCCCCATTTCTTTTATCAGCTCCATGTAAAAGTCAGTAGCCTCTCAAGTGAATTTATAGCACCGCTATATTTATGGCATCATGGTTGATACTGCCGTGACACGGCCCATCCTCCTGATGGCAAAGCATCACCTGCCAAGCCGCGGGGCTCTCCCAGGCTGGGTTTTCCCATCTCTCTACCTGTGTATATCCAAATTCGGAAATGGGAATGGCCACCAGAGCACATCATCAGGGCTTTAGTGCTGCGTATTGGGGTCAGATGGAGCCCCGTACCCAAACACCCTCAACTTTTTCTGTAAGGAAGGATGGGCAAAAAATGGAGGAAGTGACGGTTGGATGTTGTGGCCCGACTACATGGATAGACCCGATAAAAAAACTCCATCACCGGGATTGATGTCCAAAATTTCTTAAATTTAAATTCTTAATATTTCTTTGATGGCCAAAATCGGGAGTGGGATTAACTCTGATCTAGAACCTTCTGAACAAACCTTTTAATCGTGCTTTTATTAGTGCAAAGTAAGCAAGCACATCCTTTCGCTTCTTCCTCTTTTTCCTTCCCCTACCAGTCTCCTTTTTCCTATCCCACGACTGGTCACTGCTGCTGAGAAGCAGATGGTTTCCAGTCAAATGTTTCCATGCTCTATTTAAAAATCTTGAAACGGTGTTTCCATAAGAACCATGGAAAACTATAAATACACCGTGTAAAATTATTGCTAAACCAACGTGCAGAGAAAAAAAAGTCCAAGGTCATTTTTTAATGTAATAATGGAGAGAGGAACGCTGCTCAGTACTGTAGAACAATCTCTTCCTAATTCTCATTTATCAAAAACATAGAAAGAAGGTATTTTTATGGGTTTCTGTGGCAAGCCGTTACCCAACTATCTACAATTTAATTCTGCTCTGTGCTACCCTAACAGGGCAATCGCCATGAGTGAACTACAATCGTATGTCTACCAGCTCTGCAAAAACAACTCCTAGTGATATTTAGGATTGCTGTCTGGGCTATAACTTCATATATGTCACAATGAGGAAATCTATATTTTTAATTTCATCAGGCTGCTAGTGCTGTGAACATAACCCAAGTGAGCCTGTGAACAGCATTCCTATTTATAACGCTTCCCAATACTTCTCTTTGGCTGAAGGATATGAACAGGCGTACTCATTTTTTATCGCTTTTCCTTTAGCAGAGGTAACGAGTTGCTCTTTAATTTAGCAGAAACCCTGCTTTCCATGAGCTAAACTTCCTTGCTCCCTTTCTAATGCTGCCTCACAGAAAAGGGCTACAAGCTCGACAACTGGTTGTCCTAGGCTTTACAGTATTAAGAAAAAAATCAAGAAACTAAGAATTTTAGCTTTAAAATTTAAATATTAGCTTTAATACTTGGAATTTTGGCAAAGCGGTATTCCTGGGTCATAATATTTGACAACTTTCTAAAAAATTGTGTCAGTCGTGCAGTTGGGCTAGACAGGCTGTAATTTATTTAACTTTTTAAAAGATAAGGCAGGAGTAAAAGCAGTAAAAAAATTGCCTTTATCTGATAAGCATTTACCATGCATCCATCGCTTTTATGCAGGCACCTTTGAGAACAGAATGGAAATTGAAAGCAGACAGTGCAGGACAAAAACATACATAGCGCAACAAAAAGAAACCAGAGCATTTTTTCCGCTGTGATAAATTTTGCTATTAGCCTTTTGCTCCCTCTTCCACGCTCTTTATCAAGTTCAGAACTCAATCCTTTCTCATCCGCCCCTGGGAAAAGTTAAGCTCAGGAGAGGGAAGGTGCCAGCCTTGCTCCAGGGGCAGCCAGGCAGCCACCACCTCACCAGCCACCACTGGAGTACAAGTCAACTTCTCAGTTTGTCTCACTCTTGTTAAGATGAAAAGGAATTGCCCGCAGCACTTTCTAAAACATACTTTTCATATCTGTAGATAGTTGGATCTCTTCTGCTGTCTCTGATCTACTACTTAGCTTAAAAAAGAAATCCTGAGTAACCTTTTCTGATCATTTTTCGTATCTTCAATTCACCTAGTTTTCTGGAGCTCAATTAAAAAATAATGTAATCCCATCAGTGTTGAAAACAGAAGGAATCAAAATACAGCCCCCTTACCTTCCGTTCCCACCGGGAATTCTGTGGAGGTGTCATTTTCTTCCACAGCCAAATGGCAGCCAAGAGTTTTGCTGCTCTATGCCACTGTCAACTTTTCTTATTTATTACCTCATAGCTCTTTTGGTACTGTTATATCCCAAGATCCTCTCTCTAGTTTGTAAAGACACCCTTTGGGGTTTACTTTTCAGGAAAGAAGTAGGATTTGAGCCCCATTGAAATAATGCTTTGCATGGTTTTGTTTCCAAATCGAGTCTCTGTATACCACAGTGAAGATGATGTAATTTGCCAAAGCTGAGTTATAAGAATTAAAAAAGCTAAAGGACAGAAAAGCAACGTAGCTTCTAACACTGTCCAAGTCAGATCTTCCTCTAAAATGTAACATTTATGAGATTACTCTTGCTTACATCACAGTTTGCTTTTCTCCAACGAAGCGATACACTAGTTTTAAATTTTTTTCCCAGCCTTTATACCTGTTCAAATGCCTTCACAAAAAAGATTGATCTATTTGCTTCGACTTTTCATTTCCCTCAGTAATGATAATACTTTGACATATTTACAGTGCATTGTAGTTGCTAGTCTCAGTTATTTCCTAATCAAAAAGGGATGCTAAAGATCTCTACTATAACCTGGAAAAAACTATCAGTTTAAATATAAAAGATGCTAAATAATGTTATACGTATGTAGCTAGAGGCAACATGTTCATGTGGCTTAACAAGAAAGATGGTCAAGCTCTAACAAAAATAGTGTTCTTGAAGACATAAGAAAAATAATATGAAACTGAGTCATCTGCAAGACAAGACTTATGTAAATTGAAGCTTCTTGTGTGAGTATTGGTTTTACGCTTGCCTGAGGTATTCTCAAATGTACAGTGTTCAGTTGCTGTGCTGACTTTGTTTAAATACTGTCTTCATCAGGCAGTCAGTATATATTGTTTTTCTTGTACAATTTTCATTGTAATTTTTTTGGGTGTGTATTAAGGTTTTTCCTGTACAGACAACTCAATTTCTACTCCATTTAGTCCAGTGCCACTGAAAGGAGTTCCAGAATTTCAGTGTTTTTCTTCCATCCCTTCATTCTAAAAATTGTATAATCTCCGTACGTCCTTATCACCAGATTGACAACTTCCATCTTGCAGGAAATAATATAACTACCTGACTCTGAGCCTTTTGATCACACTGTTTCCTGAACGAGCAATCATTTGCAATTAACAGAGCCACCCTTCCCCTAAAACCAAATTGTCTTTATGCATGCAAAGAATGGTAGCTTTTCAAAGGCCAAGTTAGAAAATTCCAGTAGAATAATTCCAGTAAAATTTACTTAGATGGTATCTTTTTGTAAAAACAAAGTCAGCACTGCATTTCTGCAAAAAAATGGATTTCTGTGGAGCAGTCGGGGCCAAACAATATGCAATCCTTCAGTAAAAGGTACATTTAAGTGCTGTATGTAAGGCCAAACCATTCCACATCACAAAGTGAAATACCTCAGGCTCTCAATAAAACTAACAGAATCATCTTTCTTTTCACAAGTGTGGATTTCATGATAGATCCATATTCCACACACATATGACTACACAATTACTTGTACCTTTACCCAATGGTGTCTGACTAGTAGTAAGTTACTTAGCACTTAAGTACCTTTCTCAAACCGCTTACACAAACGTATTGCACTGCACTACCAGGGATGATGATGCTGTTGGGAGAAATGGGCCACATCCTTGAACGTGTAAACATCAGAGACTATTCACTAAGAAGCGTGCACAACTTCAAACCCATAATACTAAGCGGTAGAGATGCTAAATTAACTTTTTAGTAATCACATGAATAGTGCTAAGTGACTTCAATGAGTGATTTTTCTAAGATAGGTTTAATCTTCATGATAAAGTGGTACCAGCGTGAATCAAATGATGTCACAGTGAATGTGAATTAAGCCTAGGCAAAGCCACTTTTTTACCTGTCTGAAGCCAAAATGAGTTATGAGACTGAGGAAAAATTAAATTATCACCACAATATAGAAATTTTTTTTTAAGAGAAAAGTACTACCTAAAAATAAACCTAACTCACATCGAAACAACTGGAAGGTTTGTGGAAACTGTCTTTGAAGTGGGAGAAGACTGAGAAAGCTCCTATTCTGTGGTGTAGATTACAGAAGCACTGGCAATGTTGGAAATTCTTCCTCTCTGTAAAACTGTTTGTCACAGATTATTCATTAAGCAAACGTACAATAGAGAGTATATTCTTCTTTAAGCTATGTGATTTATGGGGGAGGTTAGTGAAGGGATGGAAAAATATCAAGTCTTTATTAGAAAATTATTTGGTTAATTACATTTACCTTGTACTGAGACTTGCAGTTTTTGTTCCAGTAGGTGACTCCAATCCTTCCCCTGGCTTTGAGGATTTCTCTCTGTTCATTTGCTGGAGTATTGAGTTCAATTCACTAATAACATTAGCCTTTGGGCCTGAGAGAATTGGGCTTTTCACCTCCGTCACATCACCCCATAGCTTAGATGTCCTTTGGGGAACAACTTTAGCCATGTTGGGCTGTGCGCTGATCGGAGGTGGGGGCGGAGCGGGAGGAGGAATAACAAAGCTGTCTACAGTTTCTTCAATTAGCGCATCCTTGTAAAGTGCATTGCTTTTGTTGATTATGGGCTTCATTTTTGGCTTAGGAGGTACTGGGGGTTTGTCCACCAGAAATGTTTGCCCATCTGCATAGACTGTACAAGTATCCACGTTCTCACCCCCTTCCGAGGATAAGGTAGAGATGCTGGACACCGTTGAGATAGTGCTGGTTGTCTCTAAGTGATGGTCACTACTACTTCGACTGTCTACCTCCTCAATCCCAGAGTCAGTGACGTTATCAAAGCTGTCAGGGGGTGGCAGAAAGGAGGCAGGCAAACAGTTTGAAAGACCCACTTGCTTTTTACTGTCTAAGGAATTTGTTGACTGGCTGGGGGCAAATGGCGCGGGTGAAGGCGTGCCGTTTTTTCTTTGCTTAATCAAGTCCGTTAGAGCCGAACCGGGAGCTGCGCGGTCGTCGGGGATATCAAAGCTGTTGGCAAACTCTAAGGGGGGTGGTAGTGGCTCAGTAAAAATAAACTCTTCATCGATATCAACTGATGCTAAGGGTGGTGGAGGGATGCGGAACGGCAAGATGACAGGGTCGTCGACAGAGCTCGCTGCTACGATGGTTTTGCAGGGAGATGCCGGCGGCTCAGGCGCAGCAGGCACGTTCAGCTCACTTTCCGCTTCCTCGCTCCCCTCCGGCCTCTCTGGCGGGGAGTTTTCGGGGCTCGGTTCCATTTGAACTCTCTTTTCCTCTTCATCTTCGGGCGTATCATCTGACTTTGCTGTGTCCACGGTATGAACCATTAACAAGCCAGCTGACTTTTGCTGCGAAGTATCCACAATGTTTATCAACATGTTTTTCTTCTCCTCAGCTTTCTTTTCTTTCCCTGCATCTGTTTCATACTTGTTCTCTGTCTCCTGCCGTCTCAATGGGCCACGAGTATTTTGCCTGGTGACAGTAGCAGTAACAGGAAAAGTCGTTTCAATATTGGGTCTCAGCTTTGTATCGATGTAAAGCGGCTTATTAAGGTCAGCTTTAACAGCATCTCCTTTGCCTGGAATCTGCTGTGTTTGTTCTTTCATGGCTCTGTCCCTGGCAGAGAGAGCGAGGGCTAGCGGTGAGTTTGGATCTAATAGCTTTCCTGTGACCGGGTGAACGTAATTATCTGAGCTGGATGCATTCGTGGACTTAGCTGCCACTGTACTGTTTTCGGTACCTTTCGTTTTGGACGAAGCGTTTAATGTCCTTGAATCACTTTGATTGCTGGGTTCACTGCTATTAAAAAGATTTTCAGGCTCTCTAGGTGCGGGAATCGGAGATGGTGACATAAGCTGTCTAAACCCATCTTCACTGCTAAACATTGCTTCATCGGTAAATTTAGATTGCCTCATACGTGGAGTTGGTGGTGTTAGCCCAACATCCTCATCTCCTAGGTCTGTGGAAAGGAAGGCTGGAGAATTACGCCTTGCTTCCAGCCTCTTTTCCCTGTCCCTCACTGCTCCAGCAATGGCTGCTGCAAACGGACTGCTGACACCTAAGCTATCGTCGGGTCGGAGCTGCCCGGGTTGCTCTGAAGACTGGGGATCGATTTCCATGCTGCTCCCTTGGCTGCTTTTCCCACTGCTGCTGGTGGACGGCTCTTTCACAATAATTGTCGGGATTGGAATAGAGCAGGTCTTTTCCGGACTGTCTTCAACATTGGATTGTTTCACCAGCATCCCCTTCCGCCTCGCTGGTTTGGCTGGCACATAAACTGCTTTGCTTGCAATCTTCCCAACTTCAGAATATGGGTTTTCTGGCATCTGACCCCTCTTGTTCCTGAAATTTGCCTGAGATGCGGCACTCCGACTGTACAGGTCTTCAGAGTCCAGAGAGTATCGATCCAGTTCTCGTCTGTAATAGATCCCTTTGTCCCTTATCATTGTTCCCACATTCTCAGGCCTAACCAAAGAAATTTTTGAACCTGAATTCTGATTAAATGGAGGTTTAATAGTTCCATAGCTCCTTGACGTTGGGGATTTGGGAGAGTTGTACAGAGAGGGAGAAGGTGGTGGTGGTGAAGGAGGTAAGGACTGTGGTGGTGGTGGGATATCTTCAGAGGTGTCAGGCATTGAAAGACTTCTGGTAAACTTCAGCATAGGAGGAGCCAAAAACTGTCGTTCTTCCTCTGTTATTCCTAAGAATCAGAAAGTATATTTAAAACGCTGTCTTCCACTGGGATCCCTCATACTGTATTATTTCTGTATCCAACCCAAAATGCCAGGGTGCATTTCACACGGCATGAGGCATATGCAAAATTACAAAAGAGGTCTTTGGATGATTCCTACCATAAGCATTTTTTCTTGTTGCACTTCCAGAGACCCAGATGCCAGAATTAAAAAGGATGCTACAGAATTTTAATTAAACTAATCATTGATGTGGAGGCAAATGTTTTGGTTTTATGTATCATCAAGGTAGCTGTAGAGAAGCACATTTTCTTTGAAAATTATTGAACAGGGAAGACATTCTGTGCAGAAGAGTAGCTTATGCCTCGCTTTAGCACTCTCTAAATGCAAACAATCACGCATCTTAGAAACCTAATGAATTTTTAAGATGCATTTGAAACTTAGCAAAGGGACTGTGAAGATTCTATTGGGGGAAAAAATCATAATGTTTCATTTCAAAAGATGACACTATATTATTACAAATACAGCTTTTAACATAAATAAACTGGGTAATATTGAGATAATTTAGATGCTAATTTTACATCAGCATAATGCATTTCTAAATTGATAAATGTCACTTTTAAGATTACCACTAAGAACAAAGCAAGTCCAAATTTGGTCTCCTCCTTTTCTTCTCTTTTGTGAAATCACCTGTTGTCATCATTTGGAATGAAAAATAGGTGAATATTATTACATTTGATCAATAGGGATTCCTTTGTAAACTACACAGCATTGCAACACTCTTCCCTCAATAGCGAAATAAAAATGAATAACATTTTGCCCTAGGTAATGCATTGCAAAGGACTTGTACTGATCTCTTTTTTTTTTTTTTCCCTTCTCACTGCCTTTCCTTGTTAGAGGGAACATTCTAAAGAAAGGAATTAAATTATAATTCTATAATACTTGCCTACTGCCACCAAAGCAGATTGTGGAAATGATAGCATTTTACACACAAACGGCTTTTTCCATGAACTTTGTACAAAAATTAAAGTCATTCACTGTTTAAGCAAAGATGCTGGAGAAATATGCTTTAAGAAAGAAGCAAAGTTATGTGATTAATGCACAAGCAAACTATACATGAGAAGCGTTTTACCTATAGATTTTTGTCTTCTCATTGTACCCCGAGGTATACCCAGAAAAGGACCTTGAGGACTCCCTGGTACAGTGGGCGTCATCACAGCAATACCCTGTCTCTCATACATGGACTACAAAAAAGCAAACAAAAAACCCCACAAGCATTAAAGCATGCAAGTCTTTCTCTCACATGTAAATAACTCATCTGTCATATCTGCTAATCCACTATCTCTTTTACTTAGAATTCTTACGGAAAGTAACAAATTTGCTATTATTTTGAGGAGGAGGTGAAAAGAAAGGGAAGGCTAGGCTTCATTTACATGTTATTAAAATGACAACAGCTGTAAGTGGAGTTAGCTGAAATTATTTACAAGGCAATATGTTAAGTTTCCAGCACATTTTGTGTGCTGTAAGAAAAAAACGAAGCATGAGCAATTGCATTTTGTCTCATTCAATTCCAAAAAAACCCTAGCCACACACTGCATGGGCATTAACGTTCACTCTGCACTGAGCTGCATGCTCTCCTTACTTCTGAAGAACAGACCCGCTCTTGCACAGACTAAGGGTGTCTTGCGCAAGGTTAGGCTGGCAGTCAGCATCTCAGCTAGGAACCGAGGAACGCCGCCTGAATCCCAATGCGCTCAACTGTCCCTCCTTCTTGTAGGTCATCACAAAACCATTTGTTTTCTGCCTCTTAGAATAGCCTTAATTTCCTTCCATCCCAAGCTGCTGAGAACAGCAAAGTGCTGATCATCATCAGGACTGATGCTCTTTTGGAGGGGTGGGTAATGGAAAAGTACATCTAAAATGCAATAATACCAATTATTTTTTCACATGCGAAGTTCTGTAAGAGCTAATTCTGCAACTGAGTAATCCAGAGTTCTAGAGTTTAAATTTTTAATACGTGCTATAGTATTAATGTCAATTCTTCCCTTACAAATCATCATGTATTATTTAATCAAGATATTATATACGCCATTAGGAATAATAAAAAACCTACAGTAGGAAAAACCTTCACATTAGTGGAAATTGTGTGGCTGCACTAACTCTGGTGCTGAAACTGAACTGGCATACTTTGACTTTCAACAAAGATTTTTAGCTTGGGTTTAGTGTTGTACCGACACCTTCAAGTTCAGAACTTACTGGCATCTCACCAGCTCACATTACAGGCAGAACAAGTTCGCATCTGTTTGAATAACACTGGGGTAGCAACGTTGTTGATGTGACGGTCTCAGAATAAATATAAGGATATAATGAGAAAAGGTTTATTGGGGTACCTAGACTCTTCTGTTAAAAACCCATTATTAGAAATACAGAGTAGGTCATGCCTTAATAAGATAATAAAAGCAAAATGAGTATAGAAAGCAATGCTTGTAAATTCGTTTCTGTGGTATGCCCTGCACGCTGCCGAAAGACCCCCTCCAACCAGTTTCCGAAGCGAAAGCAGTACTTCATGGCCACCACTCACATTCATATCTGTAGCTGAGGGAAAACATCTACTAGAAGGCCGCTGTTTAATAGTTGCCACTCTGGAGTCCACAGTTGCATTGTCTGCAATTCTTGATGGCTTGGAAACTGGTACTATTTCATCCACCTTATCTGTAATATAAAAGTATTCAGTAAAATAAATATCATTTGTCCAAAAACTGAAAATTTAAGTATTGCAAGGTCAAAGGAAGAGATTTACTTTTCAAAAAAATGCAAAGAAAAAGTTTTTTTGGCATTTTAACAAGGCAACGCTTGAGCATCATAAGTCGTGCAAGCCGAGCACTTTTTATTGCTGCTACATAACATGCATGCTTTAGTTTTAAGCCTGCATGCATTTAATGTTTACTTAGTGTGACTCGAAAAACAATCCTCTTCTTCAAACCTTCAAAATGTGAAGGGAGAATATCTATATAGAAATGGAAAGAAGACCTTTAGAAATAACGAATCTGTACAGCACTGTTTCAAATAGAGATAAGCAGACTGTACTTAGTCATCAGAATTTCAGTGATATTTTGGACAATAACAAGTACTCCAGAAGTGCTCTTTTATGCCTATTCTCCTTAAGTAATCACATCCTAATTTATTCACACTCTTGGATTATTAGATTAGCATGAGTAACTGCATCATTTGTTTAAATGAAACTTTTGTATGTATTTTATATTTTAATAACTGCACAGTCTGGGAAGGTATTTAGCTGCAGTCAGAAACAGACCAAATAGGCAAAGTCCAGATCTGAATGAGAACGTCGACATTTGGATTTGGTAGTCTGATCTACCATACGACGTGATGATAAAATATAGGGAAAACTTTAATCAGGATCTTCCGAAGATTAGAGTGTTAGTTTTAGCCCCGTCTCCAACTCTGGTCACCAACAAGGTTCATCCGTATTTAATATATAACATTACTCCGTGGGGACCTCAAAGTACCATATAATCAACTAATTACGGCCCGACAGCTCCTTTATTGCCGCTTCTACTGCTACGAAACTGAGGCATGGAGAAATTAAACGACCAGCCTAAGCCAGCAGAATGGTTTGATTTTTGAACCTCTACTAGCATCCCAACTTGAATCATACCAACGGGTTTCCTTACTACGCTTTCCATTGCAGTTGCTTTCCTAAGAAAGCACAAACTGCACTGTATCATGTTAATTTAGTGTCTTTTCCTTTGAAGTTTCACCAAAGTAAGGATTAGTTACGTAGCCTGCGGTATTTATGAGTGAAATACCTTCGCCTGGCTCCTAGGCTTCCACCACGTGAGTCAGAGTAATGCTACTTTTCAGCAATTAGATCCATCTCCCAAATGATTGATTATTTGCTTCAGCAAACAAGGATAGCTACTTCATTAGGATACTATGGAAAAACAGGTTTTTTTTTAAAAAAAAAAAAACAAACAGGTTTTTGGTGGTCTAGAGATGGTGTTACTATGCCAAGTATCAGATTTAGGGATTTAAGTTTTACCTCTCACTGGAGAGCAGCGCACTCAGGGCCCTGGATATGGATATGGATGGGAATAAGGCAGGAGGAAAAGAGCTTTTGATCCCTCTAAACAGTAGATCTGGCAGATGCAAGGATGATATTTTTAAATGGGAGAAGAAGAGAGGGAAGAACTTTTAGCCTTCTGGTTAGGAAGAAGGTTGTCCTAGAAGTGGATATTTCAGTGTCACAGAGGGTCAGGGAGCAGGCAGGAAAGGAAAGGTTGAGCAGAACCAGTAAGCTGAACACTCTTGAAAACTGTCTCACAAGAGCAGTGTTGCTGTTTCTTTTCAATTGAAGTTAGCATTCAATTCTTTTCATTGGTCTGCTTTATTTTTGTGTGTTTTAAATCATCCAGTCGAAGGAGAAAAGGAAAAAAAATTCTTAAAATCATCACATGTATTCAAAAATCAAACAAACTTCAAGTCACATTTCATAAGTCTTTGTAATACAAACGGTGAACTTCCGAAAGAAAAATATCTGCACTTCTGCTCAGCAAAAGGCATCAGAAAGCAATGGTGAAACCATGAACATTTGACCTATACAGCAAAAATATGGCTAGACTGTACAATTGTACTCAGGGGATCTATCACCAAGAGCTTCAACCGGGCAGAGATTTCCTGTTAAGTCTCTCCCACCCTTTGTATCATCCCAGGAGCCAAACAACTGGTCTTTGGGATACAGAAAGAAGGAAGTTTTGGAAACTGAAGCACTTAGGTACTCAAAATCTGTAAATAAGAAATATAAATATACCATGTAAGAACTGATCCCCTTTATTTTTAACAGACACATGTAACCATATACCCATTCAGACAACAAAAAGCTACTTTAGTGATGAGGCTATGACAGACACTTGAAAAGCATGAAAATATTTGTTTGGGGATGAAACATACACACCCTCCAACTGCGCTGATCTTGCTAGACAGTACTGGAAGTCAGATCCTAATTTTGGATCTGACCAAAATATCAGTTGGTACCAATTCTTTATACCATCTACTATTTCCAGTTGGAAAAAAACTTTGTTTCGTGTAAGTTTAGTGCAGGTTTCTTGTCTGCAGGTGGGTTCTCAGTCCTTCTCACCCTATAGCTGCTCCCATTCAAGCGGTGCTTCGTGCCTTGCCAAGTCTAGCTAAAGCACTTAGAAACGGGAGAGAGGAGCAGGTTAAAGCTTAAGCTGCTTTGCAAGGAACTCTTTAGGGGTTCCTCGTGCAGTATTTCCCACGGCAGCACTGCTACATCTGCGCAGCTTCTTCTTTTGCTCTACTGCCTTTGATCAGAAGGCAAAGGTAGAGTGGAGGCTGTCATCTTAAAACTGTAACAAAAAAAAAATTTGAAGCTACAGAAGCAGCCAGCGTGTGGAACGAGATTTATTCTAAATGGCAGCAGCTACATGGCGGGTCCTGCAGAATACGTCAAAATCTCAGCATCTGGCCGCAACTGCACCACACTTGTGAAGTGAAAGCACTATGCAAAATAAAAAAACCCCAAAACATTCTCACTGTATTATCAAACGTGCTAATTAGGCCAAGAAAATTAACTGGCTGAATTGTATTTAGCTTCGTTCAAACTCATCCCAAAGAAATAAGTCGTAAGCACATTGGGACAAACTTTCACTTGCCTTTGCCTTTAACTAGGCTGTTCGTATCCACAGCACCAGTGTGCAAACCATGTATGCACCGGAAACACACGATCAAAAGGCCGCACACACTGGAATAATTTGTCAGGCTTACTAATCGGCTTCTCTCCCAACCTCCTTGTGAGCTTAAATACGCTGCAGCATGCATTTCTCGTACCAATGAGAGGGGAATCTTACAAGCTTGTGTTGGAAATTCTCTGAGGATACCTTTACAAACAGTTTTAACAAAAGAGATATAAAAAAGCCACAGAACGGGTGCAAAAATTTGCACCCAGCGTGAGGTGTGTCGACAGTGTGGCCAAAGAAGCACACCTCCAATGGTATTCTTAAAAGGAAGAATATTCGAATATTCAAAGGAACACAGCTGGACGTAGGTGGAAGGGAAGAAATATTCTGTAGTGGAAAAAAGCCTACGTTGGAGGTTGGCCATGCCAGCTGCATTTCGTGGTTAAACCGGTCATTTAGCAGAGTACAGCCACAAGCACGCACGCACACACACTGATAAGGGAGCAATTTGTGGCTGGCTGGTAGAAATAACAAAATACGATCTGCTTTATTTTGAATAACTTCAGTCTCGCAGAAAGACAGGGAAGAAGAGTCTATGGCTCACTGGACAGAGAGCGTAATCATAGAAGAGGATTTTAGGCCTACAATTATTTTCCAGTATTTGCCAGAGGAGGAATTCATCACTGCTTTGCCATATAAACTCTTCTGAACCTTTACGAGAAGTTACAACCGTATGTTGAGAGTCAAACACAGGAGCCATGCTACACCTGTGATCGTTAGTTACCACCGCTCAAGGGGCTCCTGGTAACAGCATCCTTTCAGAGAACTGTCAGGGATACCACATGGATAAGCCAGTCTGATGCCTCTGCATGCATATAGCAATTTGAGTGCCACTATATTAAATTCCCCCGAGAGAGGCAGCACCAACAGATATAAAATAATTTATTGCAAAGTGCATTTCCATCTGCCCTGTGGGTTACCAATTGCACCCCTGCTCTGCTCAGGGTGCCAGCCCTCAGGAAATTAGATGGCCTAAAGGCACAGAAAGGAGTTGCATTTTATCAACGTGTAGGTCGTCTCTGATGAAAAGCTCTTAATCACAGACATAGTAGCACAGTACCCAACAGCATGTCATGACTTTTACATTCTCAAGAGGTCTGGCTGCTAGGCAAGTTGCTTTTTTTTTTTTTTTGCTTTTTTTTTTCTTTTTCTGAAATAATTAATATCTGTGATAATTACAGGGGACAGTCTCCTCCTAATAGATTTTGTTGCAGGAGATGGCTCTTATCCCCGTAGAACACATTGCTTAGTGACTCCTCTTTCAAATCCCCAGACTCTCTCAGAGGAAAAATTATAATGCTGCCCATCAAACCACCAGATCCATCATGAAAGGAACTTTGAAAATGAGAGTCAGGTGCCTAGATAGATCTGGTGGCACATCACTATACAGGCCCCAAAAGATAAATATGAGGTATGATCCTGGCAACATTACTTATTGTACGACATAGCCAAGACATGTGGATTAGCTCCACCGAGGGTCTTAGAAAGTGAGCTGGTCAGACCCACAGAGGATAAGAATGATCATGATCCGGTACAGGCTAACCCCAACACCTCAGGCTGGCATGCCAGAAACACCAGGCAAAGACTGATCGAACACAGTTTTGGAGGCGAGTATTGCCAAGACCTGTATACTTACCACCAAGTCCAGAGTGCTTGCTCAGAGGGGATGGGATAATGGAGAAAGAAAACTCAAAAAACAGCTGCCTCAAGAAATGACTTGTATTTGTAAGAAAAGCAATGAATGCCTGGCACAGAGTAAAAAAATGCTCGTATGAAGTTAAAGTGAAAGAACAGAGGCAAATGTTCTTCAAATACCAGCAGCACACATCGTTAACAGTGCAAATATAAACTACAAAATGTTAGACTAATCTAGTCAGCCAGAATACAATGTTAGCCAATGTAGGAAATGGTTGAATTCTGCCACTGATGGCCTTATGGCTAAGAATTAAAAGGACAGGCACATTAAAAAAACCCCTAAAAATCCTATGGTGTGGTTATTTTTTCTTCCCTCCCCCTTTTGCCTGGCGTGTAGGCATGGGCAACGAGGCCCTCTCGGTTATGGCTCTCTGCAGCCGGCCACTGCGACAAGGCAGCGTGGCCTGCGGTGGTTCTCGAGAGTCGCTCGTCCCTTCGGCCCCCGGTAAGCACACAGTGGAGGATGCCACTGCGTCCTCACCAGTCCATGTCGAGGCACAGGTTAACTCGACATGGGGGGTGGCTCTTTGGGAGATGCGCGTTTCAAGGACCTGCGTCCTTGGCTGCTTGAGGAAAGCTAAAATCTCTGACAGGTAGTTATGGATGGCTCTTGTGGAGGTAGCCACAATGCCCAGCTGCAGCTCCATACGGCCCATGGACTGTGACATGAGACCCATGGACTGTGCATGCTCCCTCTTGATATTTTCCAGCAGCTGCACAATCCTACTGTTGGTTTCCATCAACAGCTTCTCTCCCTCTGTTAGCTGGGGCTGCCCTCTCCAACCCCGATCCCTAGGGACAGGCTCAACACCGCGGTGCTCTTCATTCATTTCATCATTTCCCTCCTCCTCAGGAGAGTCACTTTCAAACTGAGGAGTCCTACTGAGTGACTGATCCCCAGGAGACTGTATGTCCATGGTACACTCCGGAGTCCGCGCTGGCGTTTGAAATCCCTCAAAATCCTCCCCCACGTTGCTGTGCGTTTCAGACGAGGACAACGGCCACTGCCAGCTCTCTGTGGTCCTGGCCGGTGAGTCTTCGTCAGAGGCAGGCACCGAAGATTCCTGTTCTTCGGCCGGCGTGGACGGCGAGCTCCCTCGGTGACGGCCGGCTTGCCCCGAGGATCCAGGAACCTCCCCATCTTGTTCCCCAGTGACATCTGGCAATCAAATAGAGGAGCAACAACCACTGTATCTGAGGCCAGGCAGATGGAGGTATCTACATGCATTGGACAACACATAGAAAGAAGCCAGTTGGGAAGCCAGAGTGTATGTGTTTGGGCAAACGGAAGGGCGGACTAAAGTTTAGTGACTGCATTGGGCACGTGGCAGTTGACGTTATTAAACGCTTTTGGTATAAATGCACACTGTCCTGTACCCATAACACACACAGCCATGCTGCATCCCAAGGCAGGAACTACCAATTCACCTCATCGTGACTGTGACAGGAAATGTCAGTGAACCTATCAAAAAGCTCACCTATGCACTGCAGTGGTGTCAGTCAGAAATCCCTGGGACGAGCTCAGGGCCAAGTGTCCAATTGAGCTTCCTGGGGTGCCAGATGTGCTCCACCACTGGCTGAGGGCAGCCCTTTGTTGTTCTGAAGCACTGCTGGCTATCTTCGCTTTTGTCCGACGTCTCACGTCACCCCCACCCCCAGTGTGCTCTCTCCCAAATCACTGCTGCAGCACGAGGGGGGCCGTCCACAGCATTTATCCCGCGAGCAATGCCCTCCCCAACATTTGCCGGATTTTTCTTGTTCTTTTCTCCAAACAGTAGGTAACGCTATCTGAGGGCATTGCTCGCCAGGATCTCATCGTCTTCTGAAAATAAACTTTAGTTTTGCCCTCCCCTGGCTACCTCTTCCCTTGCCTGAGGGCACATGCTGGAAATCTGGGTGCAAGTGCTTCCCTGTGGCAGCTTAGTGTGCAAAGAGGCACTGTTACAGACGTTAACGAGGAGGACACTATGTACGTGCTTACTCTGAATCCTCTCCCCGCAGAAAATGCACTCCCAAAGGCTAGAAATGGCTAAGCTTTTTGCGCCCACAGCGATCACTGGCTCACAGCAGAGCGTGATCCGCCCAGCATCGTTCTTGATTACAGGAGTCAGTGGCTGTAACTCTCACCCTTTCCATGCTTCAGATAAAAAAAACAAAACAAAAATAAAACCAAAACAAAGAGTCCGCTTTGGGGTTTTTTTGGGGGGACAATTTGGTCATCAGAAATTAATCTGGGGCGGTCTGGCGAAAATGTTGCAGTCGGGTAGCCCAAAGAGCCTGCCTTCCTCACACTCAGGCAAGGGATACGTGAGGGAAGCACTGCTGTCGGTAAGACCGGGACCCGAACAGCAGTGGCTGACTCTTGCTAGCTGCCTGGCCATGCTGCTCACCCTACGGTGGTCTGAATGCCAGATCAGTGTCGTGCCTACTCTCTGGCATCCCACTCTTGAAAAACAATATTCTTTAAGGATTAATTTCTGCTCTGTGAAATACTTTATATGCTGCTCTTCAGACCTCAGTTTGAAGCTGCAAGCTTACATCTGGAAGGTGTTGCTGAGGTCATGCTAAAAGATACTTCTGGTTCTGTTTATGAATTGGGGGGGGGGGGTTGTTTGATTTTTTTTTTTCATTTTTCTGTGTGTGGATTGGGGGGGGGGGGTTGTTTGATTTTTTATTTTCATTTTTTTCTTTTATATGGTTTTAAATGAAAACTCCTTCTGACAGACCCAAGGATCCCTCCTCCTACGTATTCCCTCCCTACCCTAATGTGGCACTCATCATTTCTACACCCAAGTGCCTCCGATATTATACTGCTCTAAAAGGGATTCTGTGTGGCTTAATATCATTATGACTTTTTAAATGATAAAAAAATGGATATTATTTGTGCATTTAGTATATTCACTACTTCAAAGTATTCACATTCAAAGTATTCACATTCTGTCTGTGTCTGGCTGGACTGTCCAGTTGCATGTTTTATGGAAAGTGAGGATGAGATCGTATTTGCAAAAAGGCATGAGCTCCTTATGAAAATGAATTTTAGGGACAAACTGTCATGCAATCATTGGCTCTTCCACTCCACGGAGATCTGAAAGGGACTGTATATCAACTTAACTGTAATAACTGCTTTGCAATTCTTCTCCCCCTTTGCCTAATACAGCCGCAGCTGCGATCCTTCATTAACAAATCTCTCTTAACAACTATGGTGTAGGACCATGAAATTATTTCTCAGCATTTTTCTATTTGAGTACACACGAAAAAAAGAACAAAAAAACCCAGGGGACCTACTTTTACCACACATCATAGCAAACATACATTTCAGTTAAATTCTATGTAATTGGAGAAAGATAAGGAATCATATATATTCGTTATGGTAGAGCCACTGGTCATACAAAATGTCTCTGTATTTCTTTTGACATGTCATCAGAAAATTGCCCGTATTTGAAAACTCCATTTTCCTGACAAGTGTTCTAAACAGACCCCACCTAGCAATTGGTAAGTAATAGAAACAAACTAAATTAAAAGTCAAAAACTGAAGCAAAACAAAATAAAAAACCTCCAAACCCCACATTAATTTTTAAATATTTCTGTAAATAACATCACTGAGTTTAGTTTGTTCAGATTCAGGGGGATCAGAACACTTTTGTTATTTGTGCATGTTTACACATTTGCCAGAGGCTTGTGAAGAAAAGTTTCTCTGAAAAAGCATAATAAATTTTTGCAAAGTTCCTAATTCTCCATGAAAATTTACCACTTGCTGTCCTCCTAATCAGTATTTTCAGCCTTTCAGAGCTGAAAGAACAGCATCTGGCATAGGTGACCGAAAACACAAATGACAAAGAGTACGAGTAAACCGGTTGTGAAAACCCACGGGCAGAAAGTTAATTGTGGAAACTATTGGCGAATACTTATGAATAATGAATACATTCACAGGTTTTAGGACAGGTTTGTTAACTTGACTCGCAATGAAAAGGAGGAATATTCATAACTGTTATTTTTCATAACAAAGTGTTCAATGACTCTAGTAACTCCGGTTTCTGGAAGCTTTTGCGAAGCATTGACGTGGGGCATGGGGAAACCGAGGGTGCGTTACATGCGTGGCCTTACACAAACTTTCGTTCACTACTGAGCGATCATGGGAAAACTGCCTGAAGGTCAATGGCTGACACCACCTCGATGACCGTGTCAGTTTCTGCCCAATAAATCCATTCCTTGATGACCAAAGGTCGCCCTAAATTCAGACCGGATCTTGGTAAGGTGATTGCACCAGTGGCTAGGTTGGTGCTGTGGAAAAGGTGTGCCAGTTACAGCAGGGGCACTGGAAAACTTGGTTTGGTCAGAAACTGTCCTTATCGGCCCTCTGAACAGCTGCCGAGAGTAGGATTAAAGCTGGCTGAAAGAGTTACCTCGACTGCCTTTACCTCCTTTCCTCGGCAAAGGGGCAACTTCCAAAAAAAGTCAAGTCGGAATTGGCTATGGACCAAACTACGCAGCCACGTGGTTGATCTTACTTGTTGTTAATTGGCTTTAAAAAATTCTCTCTTTTAAAAACCAAGCTTTAAATACGGTGGGTACAAAGAAGCACAGCTAGCTTCCTCAGGCGTGAAGCCAAGGGAAGAGGTCAGATTCTCTGATCTTTCTAGTTGTTTCCACCTTACACACCATCCCTACATGCAGCCTTTTGTGCACAGGGATATATACAGCTTACAGGCAAAGTAGGCCACTTATGTCTTCTACAGATATCTTCATATTTCTCCCTAGTGATACCAGCCAACAAACTGGCAGTCTCCAAAATTGTGTCTTGCTTCATATTCCTAACCTCATGTCCCTTGCTCTGACAGGGCATGACTCCCATTTTGATCCTTAAATGAACAAGTAAGGGAATCATAAAGGAATATGCATACGGGTTAAAGAAATATAAATATCTGGAAGTCAGTGACCCACTGCACTTTAACTTTAGTGTTTGATCACTGTGAGTACTATGCAGGTATTTCCAAAAGCCACATGGAACTCACAGGTTTCTGAAGACTGGGGGGTTTTGGGGGTTTTTTTGTGTTTGTTTTTTATCTCGCTGATTCTGTTGTGTTTAAAGAAAAAATAAGATCTGTTATTAAAGTGGTCCATGTAATAGTAACTAGTGAAACTTCATCAAAGTCCTGGCTATCCTCCTTTCTTTCCTGTTAGACACGTGCTCTGTTTCTGCAGCGAAGCCCGAAGCTGGCTGCCTGTACGGGTGTTTGTTTGGCCTGATGTGGTAGATCAGCAATTGCTCCTGGTGGCCACAGGAGAACTGCTCCATGGTTTGTGCTTGTGGGGGTGATCTGTGGTTTGCCCGATCCTGTTCTGATCATGGAGACTAGAAGCCAGGATTATTCCAGCCTTTAGGTTCATGAATATGTCCATCATTTTGGAGCACTGCTACGCCATGCTGTCTCTTTGCACCACAGCATTCATTACCAGTGAGAGTCTTTTGAGTTTGTTATTAGACATATTTAGGATTGTAGCAATTATTGGGTTGAGATACACAGAAAACTGAGCAGTCGATTCAGCTGTAGGGATAGAGGACAGAGGCCAAGAACAGAGCAGGGCTTTGGATATAGACAAACTTTAGAGACATCAGAGGTATTTCTTTAACTTTTGTTCACTGAAGAACATTTGAGATTTATGCCTGTGTTGTGCCTTACCTGCCACTTGGACTGGCAGTTGATCCCTCCCCTGAGATGTGCTGCTCTTTAAGAATCCCTCCTTTTGAAATCCCACCATTTCTGTTTCACCTCTGCTACTGGATCGTTGCCTTTTCCATTATCTTTCCTTTTCAGATTCCCCACCAGTGGAGCTGGACTCTGCTGACAGGTAGGTGGAGATGTTCCTTGGCCACAACAAGTGGGCCAGGAGCTCAACAACAGCGGTAACACAGTTGGGGAGCTTCCTGGGACCTGCCTCTGCTGCTCTGGACCTGGGCCTCTGCCTGTATCTGCATCATGCCTCCTGGGGTGGGTGCATTTTTCAAACTGCTTAGGTACCAAGGTGATAGGTGCCTTGTAAATACCTAAGATAGATACAGACAGAAACTGTACCAGGCGCAATCAGTTATGCAAAACTTCATACAATGCCAATTGCACCTATATGCTGTAGTATCACCCACCTTTTCTAGCATCTGCA